TTAATAATAATTTATAAAACTAATAAAGTATTTTAATAAGTAGCTTATTATATAAAAATATTTAAATAAGTAAAAGTACTAATATATTTAATAAATTTAATTTTTAACCTTATTTTTTTAATATTTTTAAAAGTAGCTATATTAAAATTTAAATAAAGCTTGCTAGGTAATAAAAACAGGGTAAAAAGTAATTAAATTATAATATTTAAGTAAAATTAATTTATAATAACTTTAATATAAAAGTTTTAAAAAAGTTAAAGCTTGCACTAAGGCCTATTTTAAAAAATTTAAATTTTTAAAAATTATTTAGCTTTACTAAAATACTAAAGCTTATATTTTATTAATTTTTTTTTTAAAAGTAGCTATTATAAAGCGGCCTTACTTAATAAAAATGTTTATAAAAATAAAATTATTTATATATACTAAAAAAATTATTAATTTACTAGTAAAAAGGTATTTCTTTTTAAGTATTATAATAAAGCTAAATTTATATAAGGTAGTAGCTAAATTAAGTTACTAAAAATAAAAAAACCTTTTAAAGCTATAAATAATTTTAAAAACTTTTGAAGGCTTTTTTTCTTGCTTGCGGCTATTTAAAAATTAAAGGTATATAAATTTATTAAGGCCTATATTAAAAAAGGTATTAATAATATTATATTACCTTATATTTATATTAAAAAAAGTAATAAGTATTATAATAACTTAAAAAAAATAGGTAAAGGTTATAGCTACTTAATTATTTTTATAATTAATTAATTTAAAATTTTTATATATATAAATTTGAGCTTTAGCCTTAAAAAAGTAGTTATTTATATTAAACTTATATATAAATACTTATAATAAGGGGAGTAGCTTATTTAAACCTATATTTTATTTATTAACTACCTCCCATGCTCCTATTTTTTTTAAGTTTATTTAATTTAAAATTAATAACTTTAAAAAATATATTTTTTAAAAAATAATTTTTAAGATTTTTTTAATACTTGGAAGAAGGCAGTAATTTATTTTAATAAAAATATTTTTTTTTTAGGGTTTTAATAAAAAGTGGAAAAAATAAATTATATATAATTATAAAAAGTAAAATTAAAAATAATTATAGTAATAATATAGCTTATATAACTTATTAAAGTACCTAAATAAAACTTAAAGTTTTTTTAATTATTTTAAAACACTAGCTTTTATTTAGTTAACTATCTAAAAAAAATAATAGGTCTAATTCTTAATTTTTTACCTTTTTTTATATTTTTAATAATAAAATAAATAAGAGTTTAGGAGCAGGCTTGCTTTACTTTTTATAATAATTATTAACTAGTTAAGTTTAAAAATAAATTTCTTTAAGTTTAAGAGCATGTAACCTATTATAAAGGCTATAATAACTTATTAAAAAAACTAGTTAATATTAATTTTTATATAAAAATTTTATAATAATAACATTCTAAAATAAGATTTAAAGTAAAAAAAGGTAAAAAGCCCTTTAATAAATTAAAAATCTTATTTTTATTAAAATTAGGCCCAGGTATAACCTTATATTTAAAAATTTTTTATTTTTATTTTTTTTAATACTTTTATTTTTAAATATCTTTACTATTCTTGGCTTGCTTGTTATTAAAATACCCTTTTTTTTTTAAAAAAAAATTTAGTAAAGTTTAAATTTAAATTTATATTTTTAGTAATACAGCGGCAAGAGGGTAGTTTAAAAACCTTAATTAATAATTTAAAAAAATTAATTTAAATATTAATAGTAAAAAATAGTTTTTATAAATTATAAAGCCAAGATTTATTAAAAATAATATTTTTATAAGCTTTAATATATTAATTTTAAAAAAACTAAATTTATTAAATATTTAAGGCTTAATAACCTATAAAATATCTAAGTAAGGCACTTGGCTCTATCTTATAAAGGCCTTTTTTTTAAAAATTTTTTACTTAAAAAAATACCTAATAATTTAAATACCTAAAATACAAGGCTTCTTACTAGTAAGTTTTTTTTATAAAGTTATTTAATTAATAGCTTTAATAAAAATTTAATTATTAATATAAGCTATTATTTTTATAACCTAGGGCTATATATTAAGTAAAATATTTTTATATAAAACTATTATTTTAACTTTTTAAATTAAAATACCTTTATAGCGCTTGGCTATATTATTTTAAAATAAAAAGTATAAAGTAAACTAGTTTTAAAAAATACCTTTAAAGGCAGTAAAATTAAAAATATTATTACTAAAGGTAAGTTTATTATTATTAAATAGGAATTTAAAAGTAACTTTATGGTGGTTTTATATAAATTATATAAATTATTTAATAATATTTTTATAATTATTTTTAAGCTAGTAAGTATAGGCCTAGTATATTTTAAAAATTTATTATAAAAATAAATTACTTATTAATTTTTATTTATTACTAGCTTTATAAAAATAAAATTAGTATAAATATAAATAAATAGCTTGGTAACTAATTTTTTAAGCTATTTAAATATTTATTAAAAAGCTTAATTAACCTAGTAAGTATTATAATGCTTAAGTAATTAAAAATTAAAAATACTAATCTTTTTTATTATTATAAAAATACTTAAGTATTTTATTATTAATATATCCTAGGTACTAGTAAAAAGCTTTAAGATTTTTTTAAAGTTATACTTTTTAAGTTAAAGTTTTAACTTTTTATTAAGTTAGAGTATTAGCCTTTTCTAGCTTTAAAAAGCTTTTTTTTAGCTTTATTATTTAAAGGCCTAATAAATAATTTTTAAAATAAAAAACTAGTTTATTATTTTTAAGTATAAAAGTATTAAAATTTTAGGTATATTTAGCTTTTTAAAAAGGCCTTGCTATTATAATATTAAAATAAAATTTAAAAGTATATATAATTTTATATAATATAAATAATATAATCCCTTTATTAAATACTTTTAAATAAATAAAAACTAATTTATAGCCTTATATAGTTATAATTATATTTTTAGCTTAAATATTATTATTTTAAAAGTAATTTAAAAAGGTAAAATAACTAAAATTATTATAAATATAAATAAAAGTGCTAGTATTAAAAATAAAGGTATTTTAAAGTTTTAAATTACTTAAAATATTAAATACTAGGGCTGCTTTATAATATTTTTTAAAAATTATAAATTATATATTTTTTTAGTTATTTTACTAAGCTTTTTAATTTTTAATATTTTTTTTCCTATTTTTAAAAAGCTTAATATTCTTAACCTTTAACTTTTAAAGCTTTTTACTATATTTATTATTTCTTTTAAGTGCTTTATTAATGTTTTTTTTAAATCTTTATTTATTTTATAAGACTTTAAATAGCATGAATATATAAAGTTATAATAAAATTTTATAACATGCTTATATTTATAAAAATAAATTAATTTATTATTAATTAATGCCCAGGAAGGTTTATTAGTAAAAAATCTTTTAATATTTAAATTATTAGTAAAGGGCTAATTTAACTTTTTAGTAAGTATAGTAAAGGCTATTTTTTTTGTAAAGGTTTTAGTAAAGCTATTAGTAATAAAAAAATACTATTAAAACTTAAAAATAAAAATAAGATAATTAGTTTTACTAGGTTTTTTATAATTTAATTAATTTATATAATGCTTTGTATAAGCCATTAAATATTTATTAATAGCCTTTAAAAATATTATATTAATTATTTTATTATTAGCCTTAGGTTACTTAAGGCATAAATTTTTTTAATAAGCATGCTTGTAATTTTAAAGCTACTAAGTAACTTTTTTTTATTAAATTAATATAATAAGGGTAGTAATATAATTATTAAAAGCCTTAAATTTAATTTTAAAATTAATAAAAGTAAGTTATTACTTTAATTTAATAAAAACCTTTATAGTAAGCTTATTTTTAATAAGTTATTAAATAAAAAGTATAATTAACTTTTATATAATATTATTAATATTTTAAATTTTTAAAAAAAACATGCTTAGCATGGTTTTATTTTTAATTAAATATTTTAAATATTTTTTTATTAGCATTATTTTTAAAAAGTTAAAAAAGCTTAAAAAAGTTTAGTAAGTTACTTTTAAATTAAAATACTTTTAAACTTTTATAATAATTATAATATATAAAATATAGTTATACCATACTAGCTAGTTTTTTTTAAACTTTAAAAAAATTATTATATTTAAGGTACTAGTAGTAAAGCTTATAATAACTTTTAAATTAATAAATTAAGTATAAAAATTAAGATTTAATTAATATTTAACTTTTTAAGTGTAAATATAAAAAATAATTAATTATAAAAGGTTTTTATATAATAAAAGGGCTAGTACTTAAGAAATATAAATAACTTTAAAAAATTTAAAAAAAGTAAAAATTTAATAAACTAAATTATTAAGTAGTTTTCCAGGCTTATAATTATAAAACCCTTTAAATATTATATTAAAAAAGCTATTAATTAAATATTAAAAAATTAAATAAAAAATATAATAATATTTAAAAGCTAAAGCTAACTAGGGTTTATATAAATAATTTAAACTTTTAAAAATAATAAAAATTTTAAATACTTTTACTAATATTTTATAATATTTAAAAAACTATAAATATTATAATTATACAGGCAAGTAATTTAGTAATAGGTATTATAGTATTTTAATTAAGACTGCCTAAGGCGCCTAAGCGCTGTCAAAGCGCTGCAGCGCTTTCTTATCAAACTAAGCGATCTCCACCATTGGCTGACAATTTAACACATAGGGCTCCCATGCCCCACCGAGGACAGGTTGTGCCATAGGAAACGGTTGGCTTTGACTTGCTCCCGAGTGTTCAGCGGGCGCCAAACGATTGGCTATGGCGGCGATTTGGGTTAACATTGAACTGGGCTATGCACCGTCCACGGATCCAACAACCTTACACCCGCAGCCTCGCCATACCTAGCCCGCAGCTCCGCTGAACATTCCCTGCGTCCTTTTCTTTCATCCACGATTTCAGGAGCCCAGCACCAGGCGCCCTACAGCGAGTCTCTGCTACCACAACTGCGTCGAAATGAACCCACCTGCAAGAGCACTCTCGTATATTGCTAGTCTGTCGTCAAAACAAGTCCGGCAGTATATCCGAAAATATGGCGTTCAAGCCGTCCTCGCTGCGCAGCAGGCCTACGCTCAATGGAGAGACGGGCGGGCCTCCAAACAGAAAGAGCAAACCTACAAGAGCATCGAAGCCGCCATCCCAGAAATAATCGAGAGCGTCGAATCCAAGGAAATTCGTGTCGTTCCAGAGGCCTTCAACTCCTCCGCTCCATTCATCGCCAAGTTCCAGGGAGCAGCGCTCGTATCAATAGCGCTGGCGCTTCTGGACCTTTCGGCCGCCGTCAAACGGGTCGGCTCGAGCCTCGAGGCTATACAAAACGAGCTTGCGGTCGCCAACGTTGCGAGAATACAAGGCTGGGTGACGGACGGATTCGGCGCCCACGTGTATCGATTCGTTCGGAACGAGATGGCGCAGGCTAGGAATAACCAGGCTCAGGCTGGGGATAACAGCGGCGAGGAATCCCAGGGCGGGCAACAGGACTGCTTCTACGTCTGGCATCCAGATACAGATTGGTATCCTGTTTTCGAAAATATGAACGCGGCGAATCCACTCGGTCCTCAATTCGGCGGTTATCACCGTGACCTGCCGACTATTTGCATGCGGATGAGGACTGATCGGGAGACTCTTGTCCAGCAAGGACGGGGACCTCACGGGCGTACCGCTACATTCCATCTTCTTATCCCAGCTTACAAACCGCTCGTCGTTGACTATCCCATTACTTTCCATGAGGGTCTGCTTCCACTTACGATTACTGGGCAAAGACATCGTGAAGCAGACCTTGTCTGGTTGGATATTTGGCGCGCGGGGGAGCTGGAGGGATTGAATCTCAGATGCGTGGGTAACTTGCCACCAAGAGACAACATCTATGAACAGACGGCGCGTGTAAGCATCGTTGCTGGAAAGCTTGGCTTTATAGTATGTGCAGGTGCAGCGGCGGTTTTCCCTCCTTGCGCCCCTATAGCAATGCCTGCTGCAGCATCGTGCGGGACAGGAAGTAGTTTCGCGTCACTCGGTGCAATGATTGTCAGTATACTTTGCGCAAGGAAGGAGATTTGCATTCTAGGCAATCCGATTATGTTTACAGATGAGGCCTGAAGAACCATCCACACACTCGTGCGTTGCTGGTCAAGGGGCGTTGACGTTCTTGTTTGCTTCTGCATTATCTCTGCGTTCAAGCTTCTGTGGCTTAGGTACCTGGGTAGATACCAGCATATTCAGGCTTACATTTGCTTCAAATCTCTCTAACCACGCGTTGCCAAGTTCAATACTCAGAAGCTACTCACTACTTCCACGGCTGACAGCTCATTTGATAGTGGGTTGAACCATGCGGCTACACGGTATCAAGCGGCAATCATCACTTGAACATCCGCGAAACGCCTACCTAGATACTTGGACCAATCTTTGAATGATAGCTTATTCTCCCAGTCATGGACGGGCAGGGTAATCGTCATAAAAAGGGCGGCATTATCCGTTACACATCTCGGGAATTTCCCTGAGCCCTCAACAGGGTAGCGAGGCCCT